GATTGGATTTGTGAGGCTAGCAGATCCACCACTATCTCTTTGTGTGGAGCTATTTCCGGGGAAATTGTATTGTATAAGTTGGAGTTCATGAGCTGGCTAGGGTTTGGATCATCTGAAGATTTCCAAAACTACCCTAGGGTACAATATGAGGGTGGTCGTGTTGTTGCCATTGTACAATTACGTCATCCAAGGCCCAGTCAAACCCGCTGCGCCGATGCGACCTCTCACCTTCAACCAACGTTGCAGCTCATCTGGATTCACAAAAACGTGGACGGCATTTAGGTCCAGTTGTTCTTCCCCACAAAGCCATGCGATGATAATATCAGGCCGATACTCGAGGGCCCGCTGCAGTCATCCGACACTCTTTCATCGCCGCAACGTTTACTCAACACGCTCGCGTCGCACAATGGGAACAGCAACAGGACCCGTCCGCTTCGGACCGTACGAGGTCACCACGCAGGTATGCAAAGTCCCAGATTCACCAAATTTGGCCCGTCCATCAAGGTGGAGATACCTGCATCCACCTGCATGCCCTTGTGTGTGTGTGTGTCCTCGTACGCTTGTTTTACGCTGACTACGATGCATGTATGGTTTCAACCCAGGTCTTCCTCACGACGCCACACTCCTTCGCCGTGGTGAACCTCAAGCCTTTACTGCCCGGCCACGTGCTCGTGTGCCCGCACAAACCGCACCGGCGACTCACGGACATGTCCGGCGCGGAGGTGTCGGACCTGTTCGCGACGGTGCAGCGCGTGCAGCACATGCTGGCGCGGCACTACTTTGGGAGACCGCCGGCGACGGGGCAGAGACAGACTTCGTCCTCGTCACCCTCGTCGTCGTCATCGCTGGTGACGGACCTTGCCGCGGAGACAGTTCCAAAGGCGAAGGCGTCCCCAGACGACGGATCGTTCAACATTGCGATCCAGGACGGCGTGGATGCGGGGCAGACGGTGCCGCACGTCCACGTCCACGTGATTCCCCGGATCCCCGGCCAGACGGCCAAGGACGGGAGCACGATCGGGGATGTCATCTACGAGGACATGGCGGGTGAGAAGGGCAACGTCGGCGGCGCGCTCTGGGACCGGGAGAAGGATATCGCGGTCAGCGGGGCGGCAGGCCGCAGTGGCAGGCCAGAGCCCGGCGGCGCATTTGACAGGATAGAAGACGTGGATCGCGCGGCGAGGAGTATGGCGGAGATGGAGGAGGAGGCGGGCGTGTTTAGAGAGCTGCTGGCGAGGATGGAGAGGGAAGGTTGACACAGGCTCACTGTGGCTGGGGTTTAGAGTGTGCTGCGAGAAAGACATGCCGGTAAAGACGAGGAACTACAGAACCATACATCTCATAGATTTGTACATATCCCAATGGTTGGTGGCTTTTGCTTCGTCTCCGCCGTTCCGAGAGTCTATTGTTGAACATTGGAGCGATGGGAGCTTGGCATTGACGGTCATCGTGTGAGGACGATAAATGCATCCCCAATCTGCATCCTCAGAACTGTGTAAATGAACAAAGTACACCTGAAAATGCCACTAACAAACAATAAGTCTAGTCTACACTTCCTATCGAGTGCCCGTGGAACTTCGTGAAGACCGCCTGCACTGCCGTTGAACTAGAAATCTCTCATCAAGTCATCCAGCGATATCGGCTTCCGCACCGCGGCGTTCATACCCTCGTGGAAGGTGACCCATATCTTAGTCTCCTGCGTGCCTGTGCTCTCATTCCCCTTAGCGCCGCCAGCATTGCCTTCTGCCGAGCCCTCCTCGGTCTTGATAACACGCCCAAAAAAGTCCTTTTTGACCTTGTCTAGTAGTGGAAGGACAATCGGACGCTTGGCGTCCTGCCGTGGGATAATCGCCACGCCATCGGCATTGAACAAAATATCGTCTGCACCGTGTGGGTTGCCAGCTTTGAACCTCGCCTGCCGTGCTGATCTTTCACGGAGCGCCTTGGTCCGCTTCAGCTCCTGGTCCAGCACTTGTCTGACAGCATAGCGAGTCGGAGCATGTGTGCCATGCATGACAGCAGCTGATGTTTGAAAAGTGGCCAACATATCGAGATCACTAGAAAGTCGTTAGCAAAACCAATACTATGATCACGTGAAAGCACCCATGACTTACGGCTCCATCCGGTACACCCACTGGCTGCCACGACTCGTGGCTGGGTCCATCTCGATCTTCCCTTGTTGTAGCTCGATGCCGACATCTGCTAAAGTCTCTGCCGCTCGACGGACCATGGCTCGCTCCGACTCTTTCCTGACGGTGGCCGTCCCAGACCCGCTGCCGCCGACGCTGACAGGCTTTACGTCTGGCGAAACAAGCCGTATCAGGTACGGCATGAAGTCCGTCGATATGTCTTCAGCGCTGCGGAACGAGCGCATCAGTGTCGGGTGGAGTTGGCCCTGGATGGCTTGTAGCATGGACCGGTTCGTCTTCTCAGCTTCGCGAGCTTCAAAGTCAGCGCGCGGGCCAGAGAATGGCAGTGGCGGCTCGTCGTCGTCGTCCATGTTCTTCTCGTAGCCGGCGTTTGGTCGCTTGATTGGTGTTGCGAATAGGTGATGAAACGCGAGCACAGGCTGGGTAAGATACGGCATCAACTCCCAGTCCTGACTGCCATATACCTTGGAGGTGCATTGGTCGTGGAAATACATCCAGTCGTAGGCCTGGTTTGGCTTGGTCAAAAAAGAGTCATCGTTGAACTCGCGGTTGGGGTACTCCAGGAACACGTCGGTGATGATGCGATCGGCGTCCCCGCCAGTCTCAACCATCTCTCGCAAGCGCTCCATGCCGTACTTTTTGTGTTGTTCAAGGAACCCCAGCTGCTCCTGCGGAAGTTCTTCAGCATGACGCGAGGCTGGCGCGGTAATGGCGACGTTCTTTTTGGGGAACCCTGCTCCCGTCTGGAAGATGCGTGTGACCACGTCCTTGGTGTTTCCGCGACCAACTCCACGAGCACCCCCTCCGCCGTGGGTAAGTTCTCGAACAATGTTGTGTTCAACCCATTGGCGGGTTAGAGAGAGTGGCCCCTTGAGACTGGCAGCACGGAGTCGTCCTGCAACCCATTCACCTACCACCATGATACCTCGCAGATCACCCTCAGCTGTGCTCTCTGCGCCTTTCTTGGCATCGATGCCGCTGGTCATTCCCCAGGCCGCTTCACAGACTTTTCTGGCAGCGTCCTTGTCGCAGGGGATACCCTCCTTCTCAAAAACGCCCTTGAGGCGGGTAACCACCGCGTCGATCGTGGGCTTGCCGGTGTAGACGATCTCGGCGAGGTTTGACTGTCGCAGAGGTCGTAGCGACGGGTGATATATGTCGTTGCAGATCAAGATCAGGGGTCGCATCTGTCGGAAATCGTCCGTCTTCTTCTTCCGCTTGCTCGTGGTTTGTGCTGTGCCTTGCCCTGAGGCATTCTTCTCTCCAGTTGTGATCAGGTCCATCAGTGCCTTGATGAAGCCTCCCTCGCCAGACCCCCCAGCGCCAGATACGACACCGTCCACCTCGTCTATGACAACGCACACAGGTCGTGCAATTTTCGGCTGATCGCCTGACTTGTGCCTGGTGTGTTGTACATTCTTGACCGTCTCTGTGCCAAGGACTGTCCGGACCTGGTTGTTCACGACGTCCTTGCTACGGTCGTCGCTTGCATTGATCTCGAGCACCTCGTATCCAGCTTGCCGGGCACACACATGCGCAAGTGTTGTCTTGCCAAGTCCAGGTGGACCAGTAAGCATCAGAATTTTTCGATGAGGCTTCTCTTCTTCTTCTTGTCCCTGAGCTGGTTTTCTGGCAGACGGTTTTGGCCTCGAGGCTCGCGGAAACACGAGGGGGTCCCATCGCTTAAGCCACCGCAGAACGTTCCTGTTTGTGTAGTCGTCCCCGACCAGATCGACAAATGTGCGGGCGCGGTACTTCTCCGTCCACAACAACGACTTCTTCGGCTTTGACGTCTCTTCCACCGACGGCATTGGCGCATCGGTGTCCATCACCGTGGACTGTGGAGCAACCCGCTCTTTTGATGCTTGTACAAGCTCGTGTATGTCAATACCATAGTAAGCCCGTCTGGCGCGACCTTCCTTGGTCTTTGACCGTGCGGCGACCATACTTTCGTAGGCGACATTTGTGGTCGGCTTGCGCTGCCGGATCTCGAGAGATTTGCCGGAGCAAGTTATGACTTTGTGTGATTTGTTGGTCGTCTTGGAGGTGAATCTCGCGAAGACGGACCCCGTGCTCGAGAGTTGCGTGCTGACAGGCTGTGTGGCTACAGACCCCGATTCATTGCCTAGTGACGGCAGCTCTTTCTCAGCCAAGTCTATCGTCGGTACTGGAGATAAACGCTCCGACAAAATGGCATTGGCGAGACCGCTGGGGCTCTCGAGCATGCGCCGCTTCGCTGCGGGCTCCAGGCCATGATCCTCATGGTTCTCTTCGTCAGAGTCGTCGTCGAGCAGGAACCCAGCTTTCGTGCGAGGCCGAGGCTGTTTGGCTTTGGTCGGGGAATTTGGTCGTTTCGAGGTCGTCAACGGCATAGAGCTTGCCGGATAGACGATCGGAGACGAGGCGGTCGGCATGGTGGGTGAAAATTGGCCGCAAGGGTCGAACGCAATCGACTCAGATCCTGTGCAAGGCGAAAGGGACTGGACGAAACGTTGTTGCCACTCTGCGGTGTTGCGATTCCGTGTGTCCCGCACAATGCTTCGGTGTAAGTGGGACGCGTCTGAGCGTGTTGAAGACGCGTTGAGTGCTTGGGCAAGTGGGGCAACCAGAAGGACACCCGGAAACAGACATCACGCTAAAAGAACCCGTGGACCAGGAAAGGCTGCATTTCACGCACGTATGACATGCGGGTCTTAAAACATCAATTACTGGGGAAGAGAATGCTCGCGAAGAACAGAATAATGGAAATGCCAAGTGATGTCTTCTATCGGGAAACAATCGGGAAACAGTAATCTAAAAAGGAAGGATGGCAACCTAAAGTTGTTCCATCGTGAGTTGGGGCAAAAGAATTGATCGATGGCGGGCTCGATCCGCCGACCTTCAGTGTTCGCATCAAACGATGTTAGACTGACGTGATAACCAACTACACCAATCGACCTTGATTATTGAAAAGGCTGTGGTTTATTTGACGACATAAAATAGACTGCTACCCGCGACAGGCTTGGGAAGCCCTCAAGCGCACTTCACGTTGCATCAGGCAGCCAGGGGTTGACATATTGCAAAGATATCAGCCTCATGTAGACATGGCGGGCACTCACTCCGGATGATCCTACGTTTCTCTAACACTGGGGACGAAAGTATTTCAACAGCAGGCCGTTGTTTTTCAGCCTCCAAATCGACGATCCCGAACCGTCCCATCAGCGGCGGTGCCTTCCACAACAGCTACTTCGTGACGGAGGGCACGGCTGTTGTCGTGGAACACCACGAGCAACCCGTTCATATTCATGGCCAACCTGTCAAGACTGAGCGCTGAGCTCGTCATACTCATCACTGAGCAGCTGGATGCTGACAGCCTAGTGTCGTTCTCGCATACCGACCGGCGACTCTATGCCATTGCTTCCTCCGTCTACTTCAGGCAAGAGGCAAAGTCCGAGACAAGCACGCTGCTGTTCTGGGCCGCACGGCATGGCCGCATTGGCGTCGTTCAGAAGTTGATCGATCATGGGGCAGTTGTGAACCGCAGGGATACATCCGGCACACGGCCGCCTAAAGTTAAGCATAGGCCAGGTCCTTTCGACTATCATGGCACATGGAGCTCTGCGTTACAAGCACAACATGTCCCGGAGTCCGACGATGAGGACTTTGCCGAACTTGATTATTTAGACGACCTCAGCGAGTCGGAATTCCTCGAGGAGGAATGGGAGCATATTGCCCGCGCACAACAGCCTTCATGGGCCGCTCTGCACCTGGCAGCTGCATATGGGCACGATGATATTGTTGAGCTGCTGTTGAAAAATGGTGCAGAGATTGATGCAGAGGCCTCGGGCCTGTGTCGGTGCGGACAGCCATCCAAAGGCAGTCGAGACAACTACCTTTTTCCTTATCAGAACCCAACATGGACAGCGCTACACACTGCTATCTGCCAAGGTCACGACGCAACAGCTCAACGGCTAGTGAACATGGGAGCATCCCTTGTGACCGTGAGAGATCCGAGGGGCGCCGAAACCTCGGCACAGGAGATCAGCAGCCGCCTATGGGAGGAGCCCGACCCTGATGGAGACTATAACCTCGGACACCTGGAACACGACCCAAAACCACTGTCGGCACCTGGGCGGCCATGGTACACCGCACTTCATTATACTGCGGCCTATGGCAGCCTTGCCATGGTTGAGTTCATTCACAAGGCAGGCCCAGAATATCTGGACATGCCCGATGCTGCGGGTCAAACGCCGCTGGCCTACGCATTCCGTCTTTGTCGTCTGGACGACATTGTCTCATACTTGGTGCGTCACGGAGCCAACATTGATTGTCCAGGAACGTCGACATGGACATGGACCCCTCTGCTTCTTGCCTGCCGAACTCAGCAGTTCCAGCAGGTCGTGAAGCTCATTGAGCTCGGGGCATCGGTTGATCGTGTTGCTCCAGAGTCGGCGCAATCAGCTTTGCACTTGTGCTGTTCAGATAATCCGAAAGCAATAGGTCAGATGTCCGAGGCGTGGCCTTGGTGGCCGAGGCCGAAAGCAGTAGAAGCCTCCGGCCATGAAACCGAGCCGTACCGAAGGCAGGCTGTAGAGGCATTACTCAAAGCCGGGGCAAAAGTCGATATTCTCGACGCGAGAGCTCAGACGCCGCTGTCGTATGCCGCAGGGAGTCTTTCTCTTTCTGTTGTCCAGCTTCTGCTGGAGAGGGGAGCCAGTCCGTCTTCCGTGGCGTTGGACGAGGACGGTCGTCCCCAGTCTTGGGTGCGGCCTGATGACGATTTTGACAGTAGCTCCTCACCTTTGATGGCTATTGCCCGGTCTTTCCTCAACTGTGTCGAGGATCCATTGCGGGCGATCCCCGTGTTCGACTGCATTTTGCAAGCGGGTGCTGATGTCAACTACCAAAACAAGTACGGGAACACTGTATTGCACATTCTGTGCCGAGACCTCGCCAAGGAGCACAACCGTCGACGGAAACCTCGGCTGTTAAAGCATGTCGAAGCCCTTTTAGGCAGTGGCTCAGTCGATTATTCCTTGCGCAACGATGAGGGGAAACTGGCGATCCAGTATGTGTTCGTCGAAGAGCTTATCGACATTGCCCAGCTGTTCCCAATCGATGCAGCCGGGCAACACTTGACCAGCACTGATCTCATCTGCATTCGGGACGGCATCATAGGATCTGGTCCTTCTGGAGGCGAACTGGATGACAACATCAAGGCTCTAGCATTGCTGCATCGCGTCAACCCACGGTTCGTCTTCGAGAAGCCAGAAACATTGTTTACGGCCATCATACGCGGCAACGGGGATCTGGCTGTCCACCTGATAGACCACGGCGGTGACTGTTCATATGTGTCTACGGCTGGGGAAAGCCTGCTACACATCGCGTGTCGTAAGCGACTCTATCCAGTGATCAACAGGCTGCTGCAGGCTGGCCTTCCAGCGGACAAGCCCTGCAAGACGGGGGACACCCCTCTGTCGATCTATATCGACTCTGTCCTAGCAATGGCGCTGGGTGGCCCCGTCGACTGGGACCGCCATCCGAGCATAGTGGCGCTGATCAAGCACGGAGCCGATCCTCACCGGGTTGTGTGCAAACCGCCGTTGGAGAGACCCAAGTTTTTCTATTCATGGTTCAGGCGTCCCCTGGACAGGATCATCAGCCGGGGAGATCACGCGTTCGCGCGGGAAATCCTCGAGCTCTGCCCTCCTCCTCTCACTTCGGAGGACTCCTATGGCCTTCGGTACTCCTACCTCCACTGCGCCTGCTCCTTCTCGTACAAAATCCCAGACCCGGACTTCGTGGGCTTCCTCCTGTCCCTCGGCCTCGACGTCAACGAGAGGGACTACTACGGCCGAACGGTGCTCGCGGAACTGGTCACTAGCATCAAGCCCACGCGGCCGTGGATCAGCGCCTTCCAGCGCACATCGGCGACCACCTCGCAGCTGCTCAGCTCGGGTGGCGCTTCTAAAGTGGGCTTTGGTGGTCTTATATTAGCTGGCGGGTACCACTCTCCCCTGTTCCAGCCGGACGTATTCTTGGAGTGCGTCCGGCTCGTCGAGAGGCACGGCGCAGAGTGGACGATGCAGAGCGTCGTGCTGCCGCCGTCTGCGCCGCAGCCGCAGCCGCTCAGCGACGAGGAAGTCGACGATCCCACCCCGGCAGAGGAGCTGGCCCGGCATCTGAGCCACGCGGGCGACGACGCCGTGAGTATGCAGGGGCTGGAGTACATCAGGTCACGGCTTTCCAGCACTGCGTGGACTCCGGAGGGGATGGCCCGCGGTGACTCGCCGTTTGTGCGAGGTGTCGCAAAACGCAGCTTGGAGCTGAGGCAGCCGTGATGATTTTGTCGAGGGGCCTTCGGTTTCCGTCATGACCTTTTGACGTGTGTGGAACATCGATCCAATAAGGAATGTAATCTGTGTTCGTAGTGCTCCGCTGACCTTTAGCTACCAAGAGCGTGGACGGCCAATCTTTAGGTGAACTACATTCGGTTCAGCTGTCTCTGTCAGAAGAACAACTAAACCCATCATCACATACTCGAAAAAAATTCAGAATTTTCAGCTAGTAGCGTACAAAGAACTCCTACATTTTCTGCACCCCTCGATGCAGATGTTACAGAACTGCGGTTTATAGAAAAAGAAGAAAACAATACCGAGGTGCTCATAATAACATCAATTACCTGAAATTTATTGGGACACTTTGGTAACTGCAATTACACGCACAGGGGTATGAGTCGTATAACATATAATCTGAAAACATAAGGTTGGAAAACTGGGAGCTGTTGAAGGTCGCACTACATACTCCTTCACTTCACAATCCTCTGATGTCCAAGTCAGGACGTTGAAGAAGTGGCATATGTGGAGCCTGGTTCTGAACGGGAAACGGACTCCAGCAGGTTTAAGTTGACAACCCTCTCTCAAGAATTGTGGTAAGAAATTCGGGGATTATTTGGGTCACATTTAGACAAGCCACGCTTAACTTTTAGCATGCCCGAACCAGATCACAACATAAAGACGTTGAAACGACCTTATTTCAAAAATAACCTCTGGAAAACCTCGATTCGGTCATGGCAACCATGACAAATGCTCACCGCCACACCGGCTAGCATGGCAAGCAAGCACATGTTCCGGAGCCATGAGGCAGCACCGACCCGGAGGGCCCGGAGAGGGGCAGAGCCCGTGTCCAAGGATTGGCTGTGGGAGCGTGGAGGAATCATCAGCTGGAGCGGCAGCCCGCCGCGATGGAGTCAGCAGCAGGTCATGCGCACATTCCAGAAGGCTGGAACTCGAGGCACACGCGACACAACCAGCATCGCACCACACGGGCGAGCGATCATCTGACCATGTGGCGACCATGCATGCATGAGCGCTTGCCAGAGTCAATCACAGCAAACGGACTCGCGCAGATGTGACGACATAGTCCGGCGAGGCAGAGCAGCACGGCATGCCGTTCGTTGGGGATTCGGGAGGGATGAGAGCTGGCGACGGAGCTTCGCTTTCTTCTCGAAGACGTGAGAACGAGCCAATGCGACGGCGGACAGTCCGCTCCGGCACACAAAGGACCCTGCCTCGCCTGCCTGCTTGCAGGTTGTGCGTCATTGTATCGCCCGGCGAAGCCCCCTGTTCCGGCAGGTGGCCCTGACGTGCATGATGGTTGGGAAGATCACCAATGGCATCCCTGGACAAGGAGGACGCAGCAGGATGGGCTTCAGCCACAGTCGCTGCTGTCTTGCTTGCGTCTTGTCTCGTTGAGGAGCTGGTGGTTCTCCAGCTCTGTTCCATCTGTTGCAGAGGCCATGGTTTCATGTTGTTGTCGCTGTAGGGAAGCAGGTCGCAGAATGAGAATGGCGGAATCACATGCGCCCCTTGCACTGACTGTGCGCTAATCCATGGCGGGACTCAGCGGCTTACAGGGCGCAACAGCGCAGGCAGTGGACCCGGTGGCTGCGCCCACCTG